CCCCAAAACCCCAAAACCCCAAAACCCCGGGTTTATATTAACTAATTGATCATTTATTTTTAAATTTAGAGTTTGATGAATAGCAAAGACTCTGAACAAAAACATCATAGTCATTTCAACTATGCAATAAATAGCCATCAGGATCTGGGGCTTGGCCTAAGTGGATTTAATTGGCCTCTGACAAGAGTACCTCCGAAAATAAGTAAGTTAGCATTAATGTAGAGTCTTTATCTGTGCTTGATTAGCGAACCACCAAAGATTCATTTTCACAAAATTATTCCAGAAACCTAAAGGCCTTCACTTTTGAGAAAAGTTTAGATATTCTCATCCATAATTAATTCTCATGAAGAGATTTTATACAAAGATACAGATCAGGCTTCCTTGTAAAACTCTGGATTTTTAAGGTGTAATCAAGTTAAATGATACACCATTTTCTATTTAACATAAGACTTAGCTTTAAATGGAACAAGATATCTTCTATTTACCGAAACATTTTAGGTGACACTATTTGTAAAACTCGCTAGATTCTTAACCTTAAAGCATGTTATAATGCTAGTTTTTAAGCTTTCTCAAAACTATTAGAAAATTATTCGACATTTTTAGGTTTAATAACAATAAGTTACCTTAATTCTTCCCACAAAATAGAATTTCAGCATAGCAATTCTTGTCAAATAAGCTTTGTGTTGTGGCCTAGTTTACTCAGATATATATTAAAGTTCTAAAATTAACAGATTTTATAGATAAGCCATGCTACAAATTATTGCAAACCCAAGGTGCTCCGATTGGACAAAAAGTGAATCCTTTTTGTTCAATCAAAACCTCAATGAGCACTCACAAAATTATGGGGAGTTCACTCAAATATATTTCTAAACACCAAGAGTTATCAGCCTTCAGTTTGGTGAAGCCAAGAGTCCCGCTTAAACCTAGAAATATGATTGACTCCACCAGTCAGACTCAATGAAGCTCTGTTAGAAAGCCAGAAAATGACCCCAGTGTTGATGAAGAGAGCAAAGATTCTCCAATATGAAATGAGTCCGAACAAATTTCTAAAGTTCTCCCAAGAACTTGCAAACGTAAGAATTCTGTGGCTCAACATTTAGCTTCAATCAATCTTTCCAAACACAAAATGGATTTTCCAAAGAAGAAGCCCCAATCCGATACCAACACAAGAGATGACGTTCTACACAAGACGTTGTTCAGAGCGGTAAAGAAGTTCTACAGTCAAGAGTGCTGAAACACTAGACACGTCTTCGCTCACTCGAAGAACCAAGAGTCCCAAATCCTGCAGAAGATTGATCAAGTCTGCAAGACCAGGTTTGCAAGCCTATTCTCGGAGGCTGAGATTGAAAAGGCAGCTCCTCTGGAACTTCTTGCTCTTGACAAGAAGCAGCTAGCTAAGTTTCCGCTGAACGACTTCTTCATGGCCAAGCTCATGGTCGCATCCATCTCAGCAAGAATGATCATGAAGAAGTACATCGGAAAGTATGAAGTGCGGAAGGTCTACGTCAAGTACTACAACGTGCTCAACAAATACTCTTATGGCAAGCTAGTCAACTTGTTGACTTTGAAGCCGTTCCAGACAGTGTTCAAAGAATTCCTGACTTCATCTGAGTTTGCTCAGATGCTGAGAGAAGACAAGACTCTGAAGAAGCACCATGACTTGTACAAGGCCAAAGCCCAAGAATTCTTGGAAATTATTGGCCAGATGGAGGCAGACACTTACTAAGTTAATGAATCTTCTCTGATAAACTTCCTTCTCCTAATTAGTATGATTTATTGTAGTGCCAATATTGCCCTTGTTTATTTGTACACACTCTCTTCATATAATAGCCGTAAAGCCAAATTATTCTCAAAGCAAATGGTAGTTTTCGAATTAGAGCTTTTTCGAGCACTCGCTAGTAGATCTGGCACATTAGAAGACTTGACCATTAATAACTAGAGTTTAATGCTTGAAGTTATTGTTAACTCGATACAATATAAATGCTGACAGCTCGTCATCAAAATCCAATAGAGTCTTAAATTTAAGCTTAGTCTTTAGATTTGAATATTTTATTTTCAGAAAATTCTGAAAATATTCCAAGAATTGCTCCAAATTTTTGAAGTAACATTTCGAGTGGGGAACCATAAACCTTGCAAGTTGAAGGAGGAGTGATAGACTCCCAATAAGGCTCACTCTGTTAGCATTCCATCCCTTGAAATATCAGAGAATATTAACAGTTTAAATGTAAACTTGTGATAAATTAATGTCTCTAAGATCTTTCCAGACTTTGAATTAAGTCTACCCAATTTTATGTAAAAGTTAAATTAAATTTGGAGGGAAGAGTTTAAAAGCGTTGATAATAAATCAGTCCTCTTTATTTGTGCTAAAGTTTATTACTTAATTTAATTATTTTATAAATCATTCTTCATCTTACTTCAAGAGGATTCTCAGATTTGGTTAATTTGATAAAAATTAACAAGTTCAAAAATTCTAAAGGCAAGAAAAGTTTGGAGAAGCTATTAACCACATCTGTTGTATTATAATGCTAGCAGAGATATAGCACAGAGATTAGTTATCCTGTTATTGTCTCTCTCTTTTGATGGAGAAAATTAACTTAACTCTTAGTTTACCTCCTTCTTGATTTTCCAAACCTTCAGCCACAGTTATGAATTTGTCTGACAAGGGTGGTTAAAGCTTCACTTTAATATTTTGTGAAGGTCTTAGTGCTCGAATAACTGTGGCAACTATGAAATCCTCGATATTAACACTTGGCAGTCCGTTTTCCTACCTTCTTACATGGGTGTGAAGTACAGTCTCTAATCATCCCAAAGAACATAATAGTTATGTAATTTTTGAAGGAGAAATTCAGAATTTGAATTTTATTATCTTGAGTCTGAAAGAGGTAAGTATTTTTAGTTAAAACTTTGCAAAAATATTATTGAATTGGTGTTAGGACAAAATTTTCCTAAAAGATGCATCAGAGTCTTAAATAATTCTATAACCCCAAAAAATTTTGGAGAGTTACCAGAGATTCTAAAATTGTATTTTTTTGACACTTTTCAAAAATAATTTTGTCAACAGGTAGGGACCACCGTAGTGAAACTTCAGCTAGAAACCTTTAATATAAGTTATCCCAATAAGGCTATCGAAGTAAATGCCTTAAACCCCTGAATGCATCAAATTATAGAATCTTTTGATACTTGTTAAACAGAATATCTTTGAATTTTTCTAACTAAAGATGCCCAACTTAGAAATAGATGGTATCTAAACAAGTCTAGAAGGTCGTAATAGCTGTAAATTTGTCTTTAAAGTCATAATAACTAGCATAGAACCCTCTATGCAGAGATATCTTCATTGCTTTCAATCCCTTAAATATTATATGGGGTTTTGGGGTTTTGGGGTTTTGGGG